ATTTGGGGTGAAATTTGATGATACACATATTTCCAATTTACCTGATTTCTTTTCCTCATGTAAGAGGAAATTGAAACTATTTACACACCATTATAAAAATTCCTTTTTAAACATAGAAGAGAGGCCACAAAAGAAGCTGCAATGTCTTTTTGTGTTTGCAGTCTATTTTTTCTGCTTCTGCTCTAATAGATGAGTTCTTATATGACCACGAAGAGTTGATGTGCTGGTGGGTATTGAGGGAGAGTATAAATGAAGACTGAAACACTAGACAGATTTGGTGCTTCCAATCTGTAGCAGGCTCAAAGTAGACAGAGTTAAATGAGAAATCTGGAAATCATTTTCCAATTGTATCCTAAGAATAATCCAAAATTGCACTGGAGAATAAAATGTTTTGGGAAGTTGGTATAAATAATCCAGAAAAAAATTATAATCAAATATCGGAGGATGACTTAAATAAAAGAAAAGAAAAAAGTTATCAGGACTTTGCCTTTGTATATTTGAGGAAATTTTGGTGATAATTTTTGGAAAAACATCTGGAAAAATAAAATTGAGTGAAGTAAGAAAAACTAGAGTAAGAAAAGGGGACATATAAAGGGGAGATAAAAAGAAAGGAGTGGTTTTACTAAAACCAAATTAGGTCATAGCATGATGGATTGCATTTTGAAGTGCATTTCTACTGTCTCATTCTTGGAATATTTTTTATCTTTTAGTGATAAAAATGGATGTACACAATTGATACCAACTTTGTGGTTAAAATTTTATCAATGATCATTACCATACTCAGGTATAAGATGCATAAGATATATTTACAGTGAACTAGATTCTTCACCCTAGGAAGGTGTGAACTCAAGATTCATTTTGATGAAATTATTGCTTATCTTTCTTTGCCTCCTTTGTGGGTATATATGTGTTCAACATGTATGTGGGTTCAGATGCGTGTGTGTGTGTGTGTGCGTGTGCGTGCATGCACGTGTGTGTGTGTGTGTGTGCGTGCATGCATGTGTGAATATGTTTGAGGAGGCCGGGGAAAAACACTGGTTTTTTCATCTATTGCTTCTATATCATATATTGAGGCAGAGCTCACTGCATGAACCCAGTATTCACCAATTTGAATAGTCTAGGTAGCTAGCGCGCTGCAGAGATCCTCTGTCCCTGTCTCTCAGGGAGCCTTAGGATGATGGGCTGCCATGTCTGCCTGGAATGAATGTGGGGGTGGTGATCCAAATTCCAGTTATCATGCTTGTGTGGGAAGTTCTTTACCCACTGTTACCCCAGCCTTAGTGCTTGCCTTTTTTTTTCATCTAAATGTTAGTATGTTCAAAATTTTACTGAATTTTTGTGTACTTCATATACAACATCTTAGTCCTCTTTATACCCCTTCCCCATCACTACATTCCCATAGTCCCCTCCGCCACTGGATTTCATGCATTCTGTCATTTATTTTAAGGCCTATCAAGTCAGAGAAACATCTACTTTTATTATGGAATTGAAAGACTTTTCTGGAGTATGGATGCAGGAAGGTTAATATGTGCTCTGATATTCTCTCTCTCTCTCTCTCTCTCTCTCTCTCTCTCTCTCTCTCATCTTATTCTTATATTCAGCTTTACCAGTGTCACAAAAGATTCTTTGAATATTGTTACAAACCATAAATTTATAGTAGAAGCATTTCAAATATTCACAGTTTATTGCTTTTGGCTAACATCCATTTCAATTTCTGAGGAACAAATCTACTATGAACCTTAAACATCTTTGATATTTTAAGCACAATAGAGTTAGAATAAGCTTTTGAATATACAAAATGATTTCCAAATGAATTTTATTACATAGACGTACATTTCTTGTGCTAATTTTGTTCTATTTTTGCTATAATCAGTACAAATAAAGGGGGCAATTACTTGAAAAGTAAAATCTTTTTATGAAGCAATGAGAAAATTATCTTTCCAAGAATTGTTCTTGAATTATCTTTGTAAAAAGCAGCATCATTCCAAAACAAAGAACAGAATACAGGGTCATATACAAGGTCTTCTAACTTGAAAGTCTTTGAATATATATTTTTGGATCTAGAGAAGTATAGTACCATCTGCCTTTGATTAGACTTAGATGAATAAATCCAAAAGTTAAGGCCGTATTTAAACATTTCAATACACACAATGATATTATGTTCTGGGAATATGGCACATGGTGTTTATTTTTAATGTAATTATAGATGTCTCACTGGTTGTCTTTGAAATAAATTATTAAAAAGAAGTAATTCATGGAAAATTGAAATGATTCATGGTTTAAGCCATAATTATCTTAGGCAAATGCAAAATACACTTTTTGAAAAAAGAGTCCAATTTACTTTATAGTTGTTCAAATTAACATTATAGACATTTTGGTTTAATTGTTAATTTTTCTAATGATTGACATTGTGTTGCTATTGATATCATTAAGTATTAATAAGAATACTGGCTGAAGAGATGGACTACTTGCCAAAGTACTTGTTTGAGTTCAGATCCCCAGAACTTAAGTGAAAGTTGAGTAAAATGTCAGACACAGTGATGCATTCCTATAATGGCCAGCAGTGGAAAGGTTGGATATGGAGGCAGTGACACCCCGAAAGCTCTTTTTAAAAATTTTTATTGAATTTTTGTGTATTTCATACATAAAATCATCTTAATAGCCTTTTCTTTTTGGCACCCTCCCATAGCACCCCCCCATGGAGTTCATACATTCTGACATTTGTGTTAAGTCCCATCATGTCAAGTTAGTGTCCCCAGATGTCCTTAAGTACAAGTTCATCCACTGGGATGTAGTCAGCTTATTTAGAGTCCCTCCCTTTAAGAAGATCAGCTCTTCCTCAACCAACAGTAATCAGCTGCCAATAATTCTTTGACTAATATTGGGGCCTGCCATTCATTTCCACAGTTCTATGTTGGGTTTTTGTTTGCTTAAGTTTGCATGGGTCTTTTGCAGGCAGACACCACTGCTGTAGGTTTATATAAGAAGGGTCTCAGGTACCTGTAGGACTATTTCCATATGGTCCTGCACCTCCTCCTTGACTCTTACAATCTTTCTGCCTCCTCTTCCACAATGGTCCCTGAGCCCTGGGTGGATGGATTTTAATACAGGAGTCCTGTCCAGGGACCCACACTCTGCTGACTCTTAATCTCTGAGTTTTAGTCATTTGTGACCTTTTGTGTCCCTGGCCCTCTGTTGAATGAGGGAGCTTCAAGATGCTTTAGTATTCTCTTCATCCCTTATTCTATGTTCCCTGAGCCTTAAGTGTAGAGCTGCATCATAGATGTGCCACTTAGACTTGGACAGTTCACAGAAAATTTCTGTGTGTGACCAGTTGTGGAAATCTGTAATTGTCTTTGTCTCTTGAAAAAGAAGCTTCTTTGATGGGTGGCGACTGGGATACTTGTCTATAAATTTAAGGATCCATATTTTATACGTAGTAAGAAATTACATTTGTCTAGAGATGTAACAACCTTGGAGTTTTCTCTAAGATCTATGACCTCTTCAGCTATGTGTATTTGGCTAGGTTTACAGTACTACACATGAGTTTCCTCCCATTAAGTGGGTGTTAAGTCCAGTTAGGTAGCTTTTGATTACCCCCCAGATAAAAGTACCACTGTTGTATGAATGTCATTTGCTGTGCTGTTCATCGGTGTGGGTTTTAGGCCTTGAAGCTGGTGGTGGACCCTAGTTTGCTGTTCTTCCTTAATAGTTTGTGTAGTGTTCTCCAAAGCTATGAGATCTAGCCTTCAGGGGAAGTGGCTTCCAGGTCAGTCCCAGCTAAGTTGCTCCTAATCCTGTGCCTAATTTTGCTTTGTCTTCAACAGTAGGGTCTTACCGTCAAGTTCTGGGAGGCAATCAAGGGCTGTGACAATAGCCTGTGTAATTCTAGGAGTCTCTTGGACTACCCTGGCCAACAACTCAAAGGAAGGGTTCTCCTGTCTGGCACTGTTTCTTGTTATGTAGTCCTCAGGTATACACATCGGCTCATTTAAAGATATTGTATGTGTTACTTTTCAGTAGGGTTTTGAACTGATACAATTCCCTCTGGTTTTTTATACCAGCTAGGCACTGTTTAACTCTCCTCTTTCTCTCCGTCTTATCCTCTCTCCTCACTCTCCCCATTTAAAATGTCCCAATTTTCTCCATTTCTCCTTTGATAGTTTCTGTCTGCTATGGTCCCACCTCTCCTGAGTTCCTTCTTCCCCTTCATTCCCATAGTTTTTTGCAGAGCCCTCCTTCTCCCCCTGCCCTTTAACTACCTCCTTTACTTCATATTTATCCCTTAGTAACACCTGTCTCCTATTATTCATCAGTCTTGGGTTCCTTCTTTCCCTTTACCTCCTTGGTTTCCTTCCATTTTCCTGGTTCCTGCAGTTACATCAGGATATGTACTCACTTAAAAGGATTTGGTGCTAAAATCCACAAATGAAGAACACATACATCTTTTGTTTTTCTAAGTCTGTGTTGCTTCACTTAGTATAACAGTTTCCAGTTCCATCTATTTACCTGCAATTTTCATTATTTCATCTTTCTTTACTGCTGAGTAACGTTACACAACTCTATTGTGTAAATGTACCACATCTTCATTAACCATTCGTCCACCGAGGGGCACTTAGGTTGCTTCCATCTCTTAGCACCAGGCACTCTCAGGTGGTCTCACCCTGAATTCTCTTTACCCAGTGAGCTAGCTTAGTTTACTTGGCAAAGTTCCAGGCCAATGAAAGACAATGTTTCAAATAAAAATTGGAATGTTTCAGAGGACTGACACGTGTCTTTTACTTCCACACACTTGCCATTCACACATATACCTATACACATACATAGACTCATCCATGCATGAGCAAGAACACATACAAATAATAACAAGAATGAGAAAGTGTGGTTTCAACATATTTAATTAATTTGCTATGGCTCTACAAATATAGAGACGAGTCATTTTCAGTGCCTTGGGTCTCCTTAAAGTCACTTTGCTCCCTGTGTTGTCCTTTATTTTGCAGATTGTCTTAAATTTTACCACGATGGACTTATACAAGAGCAGTTTGTGCTGGTATGACTACATTGAAGTAAGAGATGGCTACTGGAGGAAGTCACCTCTCCTTGGTATGAGATGTCGCAACTCCTCTGTGGCTGGTATACATTCTTTCCAGCCAAAGACAAATATTGTTTGCAAGTGTTGTCTTACAGTTTGAATCTCTATGACTGCCCTGTTTACATTTCTTTATTTTACATTTTCAACCACACTCAAACATGCTCAAGAGCAAATAGATGAACAGATTGATCAACTGACTTAAAGCAACTTGAACAGGAAATAGATCCTGGGACCTGAACACAGTGACTGACCATGAGTTCTTCAGAGATTGCTTATGGCGAGTCCTCACAGCCCTTCTGTCCTTTCCATTTAAGGACAATAGATTTGATAGATTGCATACCTATATGTTGTGTGTGTGTGTGTGTGTGTGTGTGTGTGTGTGTGTGTGTTTGGTGTATTTTCTCACCTGTTCCCTGAGACAGCAGAGTTTGAATGTCAGATGCATGTTTGGTAGCTGGCTTCCTATGACCAGCATACATGCTCTAACATCACACTTTTGCTTCTTAGAGAATCTTTCTGTGACCAAGTAAAGGGAACTGTAGTTTGGGTCATTAACCATATTTCAGATTTAGTGCTCATAAAAGCCTGGTGCTTGTATTTAACTGTTGACCACATACTAGTAACTTGAGTGGCAGTTTGTGGTTACCCTCTGTTTTATGTAGCGGTGAGAGGTGTTGTGAGCTCCTCTGCAGGCAAGCAGCTGCTCTATACTGATTTCTCTGTTTTGAGATTATGACTTTTCATTTATTTTGAGATGTAGTCTTGCTCAGTTGTATTTTTGTTCTATACTGATCTTTTTTTCTTAACGTCTAAAATCTGCTAAAGGCACACTATGATTAAAAGTAGCAGCACCCTTAGTAAGTCTGAGCCATCTGTAGAAATGTTTCAAAACAAGAACAAATAAATAGTTGAATTAATGTGTTAAGTCAGGTTGAAGAAAAACAAAACAATATCCTCTGTATTTAGTTTCTTAGCCTAGATGTTGTAGGTAGATCCAAGAAAACATTCCATGGGACTCACGTTAGTGAATCAAATCTGAAGCTAAAATTCTGGAAGACACTTTCTTTGAGAGCACCATCTGCTTTATGTGGTTCAGTGCAGAGTTGGGCACCGGACTGAAAGCTGGTGGAAAGCTTTGCCTGTTATTCTTTGGAAGACTTTGCTCTGGAAAGAGTAGTTCTGAGACTGAAAGCATTGGGCTCAAGAAAGGTATTAGAATTGTAGAAACTCAGGTGCCACTTCAGACCCACTGAATTAGAGGATGTGTTTGAACAGATTTGTTGAGATTCCACATGCATATGACAGGTGAGGCAATGCTGCCCTTGGTGGCATGCCTCTGATTTACTGGGCAATTTTGGAAGATACTTAAGCTGACAATTTCCACTCTCTTTCATGTGTGGATCCTAGATTGCAATTTATATACACATGTATATAAATAGGGTGAATAATTCGAATAGTGTGTAAATAAATCAGAAAGGACCAATAGAGGGTAAAAATAGGTGATGAAGAAGAACATGAACAAAAGGACATCTAGATCATGAAAGAGGAAAAGAGTCTTGGGGAAAGATGGTTACCAGGGAAGATGAAGCATAGCAGGGGATGAGAAAGAAAAAGGAGGAGGAGAATCTCCTCAACACAGTTTCTTAGAAAATGATGCAATGATATCTAATGATCTAAAATAGTAATAAGAATGAACAGCAGTGTAGCTTGCTTGTAGAATTATTTCTTGTGCTTTGTCACATTTAAAGATTTGTTTCATGTGGAGCTTCAGAGTTAGACGTGACCTGTAGTAAGCAATTAATGCCTATGGAATAATGAAGGAAGAAGGAAAAGAATGGATGGGTATTATTATATTCACATTCTCTTACTGACCTAGATAAGTAACCAGCATATGATCAGAATTAAGAGTCAAGATTTTGGTAAAGCTCTTTTGATTAAAATACCACAGACTATTGCTTTGTGTGTGATATGGAGTGTGTGGATTCATGTAAGGTACTTGAGTCATCTTACAGGCTATTTCTGAGGTCTTGTCATTGAATTTGGCTAGTGGAGAATCTCTTTGTGGCTGGAGGAAATCGGTTGATGATTTGCTCTAGTTTCTCAGGATGATTTTCACCTTTTACCATCTCATATAGTTACTGTTTCACCATCTTGACATATCACATGATCTTTTATGAATTTTTAAAATTAATTCTTTCTTAATCCTTTATATGATAATGATACTGGTATCAGTTGACTGAAGCTTTGTCAAGTAGATAGGAAGAAACCGCTTAATTTCTTCACATTTAAAAGATATTAAGCCATAGTTATAGCTCTAATCACTAGAGATAGAAATATTAGCAAAATAAAGCTATATATGTGTATTATATATGCATATGTATGAATGTGCACGTACTTATGTAATTTGCAGCTAGTGTGGAAAACTGTTACTACGGAGTTGTATTTAGGAGTCTCTCTTTTATGATTTCTTTTAGGCAGATTCTGTGGGGACAAAGTTCCTGAAGTTCTTACCTCTACAGATAGCAGGATGTGGATTGAGTTTCGTAGCAGCAGTAATTGGGTAGGAAAAGGGTTTGCAGCTGTCTATGAAGGCAAGTCATACTGAATTTAAGAGGCTGTTTCACCCTCTGTGTCTTAACAAAAATGTCATCCTTTTCACTTTCACTAGGTTATTGAAACCATATAATCAGAAAATTGTGAAATTTTTGAATCAGTATTGTAATATTCACAGGATAATTTTAATAAAAGTATTACATAGATTTAAGCAGTAACAACAACATGTCTTCTGGTGTCATGGACTGGAGGCAAGTAGCAAAAAGGTTCCTAAGTTTAATTATTTGCTTCATGATACTGCTAAAATGTTATGAAAATTATGAATTTCCTTTGTACTGACTTTTAAGTGTATTTGGACCCTGTACTGGTAAAATACTGTATTATAGGAAATGACACAGAGACCAATTGTGCAGAGTTCTGAAACATGCTTTGTCTAAATAAAAGAGTCAGCATGCAAGGAAGAATTTATGACATGCTTTGTTCTACACTCTTCTAAGGCAACAGGCTGGCATTGTGCTTCCTGGCTGTAAAACAGTTCCCTTCTAGCCAGGTTGTGGCAGAGAAGTGCTTCCTAGTCCAGGAGTTTAGGTTATTTCTAAGACAGGGATTCCTGCTTCTCTTAACATTTTAAGTAAATGAAAGCACTTTGGTTTGAAGATTTACCGCATGGCTGGGACGAGGCTTCTAGGGATGGAGTCACAGATGTTGAACACATGCTCACTGTCAGAGGCACAGTGGGTTCTGTTCAGAGTGAAGCATCTCTGCTAATGAGCTATTTTACCTGTGGTCAGAAAACCCAAGAAGCATGTCGGGGAATCATAAAGAAGGGTTAGAGAATAAATCTGCAAAGCTCCACAAGGTTTTACAAGTGAAAAACAAAGGGAAAAAAATAATTTTGGTTAAGCTGTGACATCACAGTGATTAAAACATACATTCCTTGACTGAACATTCTCTAGCATTTATAGTTAGTGGGTTTTTATCCTCTAAGCTTTACAACGCTGCAAACGTCCAGCTTTGAGTTTCTTTGTAACATGGTCTTTATATTCTTATAAGAGCTGACCTTGAATATTGCCTTAGAAGAAAAGGAAAATGAAATGTCAGGGGTAATTTATTTGTTTATTTTTGCTATCCTCAGCGATCTGTGGAGGGGAGATACGGAAAAATGAAGGACAGATTCAGTCTCCTAATTATCCAGATGACTATCGACCGATGAAAGAATGTGTGTGGGAAATAATGGTGTCGGAGGGCTACCACGTCGGATTGACCTTTCAGGCCTTTGAGGTAAAGTCTTTCCAGGAAACTTCATGGGGGCGTATTCTCTATAAATGACAGTGGCATTTAAAAGACTCCCTATTAAGTCAGCAAAGAGGCAGAGAATCAGCCTTTTAATCAGTGAAGAAGTAAAGAATCACCTTTAAAATGTAACATCAGGAGCCAAAGGGTTTTTTTCTTTCTCCTTGTTATAGACATTTTCAAGAAGATTAAAGTGTGTTTACATTAACTGCGCTATTTGAATTAGAATGTTTGTAGTGCTGAATATAGCTTTTTTTTTTGACGTATGCATGGATGTTTTCATAAGCCTACTTGGTGGGTCCATTAAGTAACAGAACTTTTATTTCTCTTCTAGGAAGTTTTTATTATGAGGAAAAAAACACACTTTTTGCTTTTATATGGTTACAAAGATTATTTAATCAAATAAGATTCAAAACATTCTTAGGGGCCTTTGACTTCATGAAAAATTATTTTTCAAGGGTTTAGGAGATGGCTTAGTGGATGAAGCACTTGTTTGAGGGCTAGAATTCTGATTCACAGAACCTAGATAAAAGCTGGGCAGGGGAGGGATGTGGGCCTGTGATTCCAGCATTCCCGGAGCCAGAGACAGAGGACTCCAGGGCAAACTGCCTATCTAGACAATCCAGAATCAGTAACTCTGGGTTCAGCAGGAGACTGCCTCCATTAAGTAAAGAAAACAATTGAAGAAGATGCTTGGAACCAACTTCTGGCCTCCACATGAACACAACACATGTGCATGCATACTCCAGGACAAAAATGTCCATACATATGTGAACATGCAAACGTATGATAGCACATACAGCATAAACACTTATACTAGGAAAGAAAATTCAGTCTTGTATTATTAAGTGAATGACTAGAATTAACTAAAGATCATTTAGAATTGTGGAACAAAATCTGGTCTGAAAACTAATAACCAAAATGGTTAATAAAATATTTATTTATTTCCTTCCTCCTTCTCTCCCTCTCCCCCTTCCTTCTGTGGTACAACAGGAGCTATGGAAGGAAGGAATTAAAAGTTAAATAAAGGTATTTTTAAGGACTCTATAGCATGCTTCAAAAAATTAATGTAGAAAGCAAGAGTCCAGGTGACTTGGGAAAAAAACAACGAGATGGGTGGATGTGGTAGGCCTAGGCAAGAGTTAGAAATCTAGGTTCCAGGACTGAGGAGTCTTTCTCTTCTGATGAAAATTCTAACTGTCTAATCCTTTCAATAAAGGCAGGAGGGGGCTCCCTGCTTTCCATGGCAGGGTATACTTGACAGTGAGGGCAGACAGTGGTCATGCTTTTGCCCCCATAGCAGCAGCATCAGAGATACCCAGCATTATCTCCATATCCAGAGCCTCTCCTGTCTCCTCTGCAAGCCTGTTCTGATGCCTGTGTCTACCTCCTTACATGAGCTACTTTATTTCCCACACAGATTTACCCTTATCATGAAGAAGTCTGTTCTGTTTTGATTATGAGGTTGTGTTCTATGCTTTTGACTACTTTGTAGTCCAGATGATCTTGGTTTGGAGTTGAGTCACATTTGAAATTTGTTACTTTAATGAACCAATAAGATTGTACAAATTGATACTAGCTTACTGTGAACACTGAAATAAACTGTTTTATTAAAAATGTGTATATTGGGGCTGGAGAGATGGCTCAATTGTTAAGAGCACTGGCTGCTCTTGCAGAAGACCTGGGTTCAAATTCCAGCACCCATATGGTAGCTAACCATCGTCTATAACTCCAGTTTCGTGGACATTACACAATATGGGTACACTTATACACATGCAGGCAATACACTCATACACATAAAATTTTTAAAAATATTTTTAAATGTATATATCTAGGAGTCATATTGTCAGTGAACCATACTTAAATATGTAATAGAGTTTTCCTATTACAGACACCATGTCAGACAAGTATTTATACTGCGAATCTAAAACTAAGAAATCTGGGAATTGTGG